TTGTTGAAACCAGATGGTTGACAAGTACGAGTAATGAATAAGAATATGAGAGATATTCCCATAGTATCTGATTAAATCTCAGGTATAAATTGCTTAATCGTTGGGACTGCCATATTACTAATAATAACAAATTCTACTATAAACCATTCCCGACATTCTAATTTAGTGCGTGTAAGAGTGGTGGCTTTGTAGCATAAATAATATTTTACGACACAACTATTATAAATTTAAGTAAATTAGAGAAAAGATATAAAATCGCTTGCACTTAAATTATTTAGGACAATACCTTATTTAGATAGGCATTTTTAATAATTTTAATTATTTATACATAGAATATGATATTTCAGAACGTGGCAACATATTATGTTATAATACATGGTTCACATGATTGAAAGAAATAAAAACATATACTTAATTGAATGTCAGTATATGTGAATAGCGGTTTATAGCATGAATAGTGGTTTATAATATGAATAGTTCACGTACTAATTAGTTTATATAACCGATCGCTTACTGTAGTGAGGGCCCGAAAGAACATTTTTGTGGTACATATATTTTTGGGATTGACAAAGTTTCTTCGTTACATAGTATAGTAGGCAAATGTCAAAAGTTCAACAAAATAAGAGCAGTACTTAACACGTTCCTATGAAACGTCTCTACCGACCTTTGGTATACTACATTATATTACTATTTAATGCTGTCATACCATTGTTTTTAGTGCTGCTATTTAGCACTGTCGCTGTCGTTTAATTTAACGCATATCCTTGAGTTAAGGAGAGTATGAGTGTATGCATAGGTGGAGTGAAGTATTAATTTTAAAATTTAAGCAAAATAAATTAAAGTTTTCTTAATATTTGTAGTGTTTTCTACTAACTGTTTTTTATTATTATTTTTTTTATTGTAATATTTATAAATATTTAAATATTACTTTGTAATCAGATCATTTTTATTATTTCCGTGATTTACTTTAATAAAAGACATTGAGGATTAGTTATTTTTTGATGGTTACCCTGTTTTAAGAATATTTTTATATTATTTAAAGTTAATTTTTTTTGATTACAAAGACTCAGGTCATAATTCTGCCTTAATCCAATTACATTTGCATTACATGTTGATTTGGACCAAATTTATCAGCATTTTTTTTTAATACATTTTTTGCCAGAAGAAAATTGACATTTAATTTCTGATAAACACGCTCTTCATTAAGTCAACACTTCGATATGCTTCCTGAATTTATATGGAATTGCTTATGTTTTTATTCAAAGAATGTAGAAAGATTTATACACAAATACATACGAGTACGAGAAACGTTTCATTGAGCGAGTAAGCAAAACCGCAAGAAGTCAATGTATAAGTGCACATACATTTCCAATGCATACTCTCCTATACACAGCGAAACAAAGCAAAATAACTACACGCACGTATACGAAACATGATACAATGAGAGTGGCAGTAAAAAAGGCAAAAACAAAATAATAAACTGCAAAATAATTGAGAAGACGAAAACGAAATACAAGAAAATGAATGCCTTTGGGTGCTCTCTTGTTACTGCCTTGCATGCTAATTAACTGCGTTGGTGGTAATAATTTTCCAGCGACAATTCTGTAAAGCCGTATAACATTTTAAGCAGTGTAGCGGTAGCTAACAAGCAACAGCCAAACCAACTCTCAACCGTACCAATGCCAACCGATGTAACACGCAAACAACCCAAACAATTAATGCAATTTTTTCTTCTTATTACTCTTTTTCCTTCATTAAATATTTCTGTAAAAAATTTCTTGCACGACTAATTAAAACGACACTGGCATTGCTTGCTGCATGTGTCTTTATATGAACTTCTCTCAACAAAAGACAATACGACAATAATAATAATGAAAAATACAGTGGAACTAACAATAATAGGAAACGTTAGCGGGAAAGGGATGTGTTTATATGTTTCTTTTTACGTGCGAGTACAAGCAGTAACAAATCCAAAAACAAAATTACACAGAAAATAAAAATATATTGCATAAAAGAAAAACTCATTAGCTTTCAGTGAAACCAGCACTGTTATTGTTATTTTAACTTTTTTATCTTTGCTTTATTTTGATTAATTTAATTTGTATGTATGTGTATATTTTCTTTTGTACAATTGCTCTTCCTTGTGCTTGTTCCTATAACTTCATGTATGTGTAATAAGAAGTAAAATAGTGCAAAGTTGAAGTCATCTTGGCTTTGCTGTGGATTAAAGGGGTAGCAGCGGGAATTGCAGATAATACACACAAGCTAATATTGTGTGTGAAAAATTATATGGTTTATGTAAATAGAATTATTTAAGCGGTGTACTTTTGTGTGTTTAGTGCTTTTGTACCGTACGCAAAAAGTTACTCATACGACCTATAAACCAGCTGAAATTAATTCAATTAAATGTAGGAAGTATTAAAAAATAAAAGATATTATGTTCAGTGTGTGTGGTTTAATTATATTCAGAAGATTATAGACGAATAAATATAAAATCACAATTTTATAATTATATTAATTATTATAATATAATAATATAATTAAATAATTCGAATTTTTTAAAAATTGTTTGAAATTTAGTTATAATTTATAAATTCTCCAAGTTTTTCTTTTAATAGTATATTTAATAGAATAAAACAGAATAGGTATTTATTTAAGTGTGGATAAAAAATATTAATTTAAAAATATATGTTGAGCATAAATATGATATAATTTATTTTTTTTAAAAGTTTGGTTAGTTTTTTTATTTAAAATATTGTTCGAATAATATACCGACAGCAAGTGATAATACTCTAAATACTATAATGAAATATGGCAATACTATATTAGCATCAGATAAATCAAAATATGAACATTTAAATTCTAAGTAAACATCTTGATATAGTAGGAACTATGTAAAAAGTGGCTAAACACGAGAATAAGCCCTTTAATTTCCATATTTCCATTATATATCCGTGGTGCCATTTCACGTTTTGTTTGTGTTGAAATTTTGAAATGTACAAGGCAAAGTCGCCGGAATTTTGAATTGAAAAGAAAATGTTTCAGCGGAAATGCTGTGGTGCACAAAATTTCTTCTTCTTCTTCTGGTGTTTTTTGAATTCAGTTCTATGGCACATAAGCTCGCTCTAACCGCCGATATATAGAGAGACAAGCGAAAGGTTAACGAACCATCAGCGTCAGTTTAGAGTAAAGTCTAAAGGCGGGTGTTGGCTGAAAGAGAGTATTTCAATAGCAGGGCAGCGTAGATAAATCAAAAAAAAAACAAAAATTTTGAATAAGAAAAAAAAATTGTTGTCACGAACTAATGGCAGAAGACAGCTTAGAGCAGCAAAAAGCGCGTTGATTCTATGTAAATGGAAATTTGCAGTTCGTTGCGCATTTGAAGCCCTTCAGCGATTTTGGCTCTTTGGCAGGCAAATAATGACGGAAGGCGTATATCTCACAAAGTGAATGCGGTTTGTTGTCGACACATACATATATATAAACACACACACACACATACAAGCACAAAGTATAACTCAAAGTACCTCCTCCATAAAATTTAATGAAAAGTTCCGCTACCCGGTCATTTTTATTCAACAATCCATCTCCATATCGTTGAATTTAAATTATTATAAGGTACGAAGATTGTTTGATGTTTTCCTTAATCAAGGCATCTTTTGTTAGAAATTAACTTGAAGTGATTATTATGTATAGTAAGCATGATTTAATAAAATATATTATAAAATTTAATTCTGTTCAAGAATTTTTGAACGTGCTTAGTGTTTTCTGAACTAATGAACATATATAAGACACAGATATAGCTGGTCAACTCTAATTTCATTACAAGTTCTAGAACAATTGTGGAATAAATTTAATGTATATTTAAAACTTTTAAATATAAAGGTAATTCCCTCAAGAATATAATATCCTGGAATTAGGAATTTGGGGTAATTTGCGGTTCAGCCTTATTTTGGTTATTAAATAACCAAAAAAAAATAACGGGTTATTTATTTCTTAATGCTGAGAGAAAAGAACGTCGTCGTTCACAAAACTAAAATCAAATGCAAAAAGTATGGATCGTATTTATGTTTCAAAACGTATCGAAAAGTTAAGAAAACGTATAGAATATTTATCAGAGAAAAAAACTGAACAAAAATTCATTAAATTCAACAAAAAGTTTACAAAATAATTTCGTTTATTTAATAAACTAGAGGCTTCTAATACCTGCTAACTTCTCTCGCTAACCCCCGTTATACTACCTATTCATATTCAAGAATGTGTATGTGCTTTTAATATTCTCTAGAAGGGACATCAAATTTTGTTCCACTTTTAAAGTTGTTCAAAAAATTTGACGTCTCGTCTCGAGAATGTGAAAAACACATACATATTGCTGAATACGGAGAAGTATGTATGAATATAACGGAGATTGGCGAGTGAAGTTTGCATGGGGTAGAGTCCTCTACCCCATTTATTAAAAAGACGAAATTACTTGGCGTTTATTACATATAACTTATGTATTAAAGTTAATAATCTGTTAAATATTATTGACAACTAATTAACATAAACACATTAAGATAACTTTTTCTACATCCTAAGAAGAATATAAAACCTCTACTAAAGAAAACTATCCGTTAAATAAAATTGAAATAATTGGTGTTTTTAATATCTTAAGCAACTTCGTTTCAATGAAGCAATAAATCTTACTACATATCCCTCGTAAAATCGTAAATATTGAATACCTATTTCTCATCCCAGTCTATGTGGCTTTAGCCGAAATTACGTTTGTTGTTTGTGAAAGTTGCTTCAAGCTCTAACATTTAATTGGTGTCAATGAATATTTATTACAAGCGTCCTGGCGTTGATACGGCAAGGACCTTATCAGATATGCAAAGATTTGTCTAAGTTTGCAAATATATATCTACTCGATTTAAGCACAGTGTTTGCTTTTAAGGATATTGTACAAAAAAGTTAAATGAAAAAGGATTTCCATTCAGTTTCCATATAACGTCGCTGAACAGAGTTGCACAGAACTTACCGTTGTACCCATTTATATGTAGGCAGAGGATTGCCATCAGCCACACATTCAAAGGCAGCAGGACTAAATAGCGGCGCGGTAGTGAGACGATCCGGACCAGCTGAAATAATTTTCGGTGGATCTGTGAAATGTTGAGAAAATGTTTTCAAAGTAAATAAAGTTCAAATTGCACAATGGAAGCGCAAAATAAATCTATTTTCGATGCATTGCGCCTTTCAAAACAAACTCACATTTCACATCCAACTGCACAGAAAGTTGCTCCGATGTGCCAACAGAATTTTGTGCTTGGCAGGTGTACAAGCCTGCATCGCGACGTCCGACTGGGCGTAGCTGCAATGTTTCCTGGAAAATAAAATGAAATCAAAATAATTTACATTTCGTGAACAGAAATTACTGGTACGTTTTAGTGAAGTTATATTAGAAAGAGGCTGAGGTTGGTGTTTTTGACTAGAGCAGTGGTGGGTGGTGTCTATGGAATTGGGCGAGGATAATGCTAAAAGTTGGCACTAATGCATTGTAAATCATAAAATTCTGTTTTACCTGTAAACTGGCAATTTCCGAACGTCCTGCACGTCGCCATACGATGCTCGCTGGCGGATTGGCATCTGCAACACAACGCAGTATAAGCGCATCTTTATCTTCCTCCAGGTCGATTTCCGGCGAGCCAATTAAACGTATAGTTGGTGCATCTATAGGAGTAACCAGAACAACAACAACATTGTGAAATCGTGAAATCGTGACAGCCAGCAGTATTAAATCAAAATAAAATAAAGTAAACGATGTGAAATGAAATAAAGGCATTTACATTTAATTTAAATGATGCAAAAACGTTGGATTACTTTTGACTTTAAGCTTAATTAAATCTACTCTGAGCAGGATTGATATAGCACAGCACACAAGGAACACGTAAAAAATATATAAAAATTTGTATCTGTAGTATCTTGAGGGAAATACCGAATGGCGCTGCTGTTGGAAGTGATTATGATAAAAATCTGAATTACGTTGATAAGAAATTAAACTAATTGAATTTGCGGAAAATTGAAAATATACAAATTGCATTAGTTCACAGCTAAAAGCCGAAAGGAAGAGGAAAAAATTAAAACTTTCCCGAGAAATAAAAATATTTATTTATTCGCTCTATGAAGATTTTTTTATAGAAGCAGTAAAAAGGAAAAGGCCTATATTTAAGGCTGTTTTTAGTTGCACGTGCTTCATTTTTCACTCATTTTTAATTCGATGTTGATTTGGGTTTGCTTTACAAATATTTCTTGATGGGATTAAAATGTTTCTCTATTCTGTCAGAAAATATTTCGATTGAAATGTTGTGCAGCAATGCAAACTTATGTAGCTTGAACCTCTTGATTAATTTAAACTTTGGCAAGCATTAGCTTAGATACTTTGATGGCCTTTAAGGGAAGTACACAACAATTTAAGCAGTTGCTTTGGCCTGGAAATTGTCTTTAAATAAAGTAAGTGTAATTAAGAATATTTATTAAGAAGTGGGACTTAGAAGAGATTTAATTTGTAAAAAGGAAAACAATTATATTTTGAAATATTTCGATGATTGACGTAGTGAATCATAGAAGAGAATAAACACTGAGGTTAAAAGACTATAATAAGAGTTGTAGAGAGTTATTGTGAACTGTAATATTTTCGGTGTTTGAAGAGTCTTATGGTCTAATTAAGGAGACACCGAATGGGCCAAAACGGATACACAATCTAAATCATTTCAACGATCAAAATTAGTATCTATCTTTATACCTATATATATATATATATATATATATTATGGTGACCATAAAATGCATAACGCATCAAAAAAGTTTAGAATTTCCATAAGAATTTTCATATCCTCTCATTAAAATTGTTTGATTATTCAAAAAACTATTACTAAACTAAACCATGTATATACATATGCATTACGTAAAAATGCATTAATTCTAGAAAAGTCAGAATATCGTACAAAACTGGGATCAGGTCTGAAATTGAAGCTTCTTATTAATTAGATGAGGTTTATTAAGCTTTAATTTTATTAAAATATTAATATAAATAGTTTTAAAATATCTGCCACAGTTATAATCAAATTAGTTTTAATTTTATTAGCGTGTTATGTCTAAAACAAGATACAAATTATTGAAATGAGTTTTTAATTAAATATATTATATAGTCAAGTCCGTATTTTATAGCGATTTTTATAGAATTTTCATAATGTTATAATAATTTTATTAAATTGTGCTGAAATAATGTGTATTTGGTGTAATATAATCTAGAGCTAATCGAATACTGCGTCTTTATAGCAATCCACTGTTAATTCTTATCGTATACATAAAACTATTTTTATCAAATTATGATGTAATAGTGTGATTCAATATTAGATTTATATTATATATATATATATATATATATATATATATATATATGTGAATATATATAAGTATATGTGTAAAATATTATAATACTACAAATATTATAAAATGCAAATCATAGCCCATTATAAGAAAGTCTACAATATTATACTGCTTTTGTAGTAGAGTAATTACAAGAAATGGGCTATGATTTGCCCATATACTCTTATAAATGGTATAATAGTTCAAACAAATCAAAACTGCACTTTTTTGTTTACATCTTAAAGAAGAATCTATAAGAACAGACACAATCGACAAATATTATAGAAGTGGGATGCTTTATAGAGCTTAAAAGTGGGATTTATACTAATGATTTAAAATAATTTTTAAATATGAATCGATTATTAGATATTTATTTTATTAGATATTTTATTAGATATTTATTATTTATTAGCTGACCCGGCGAACGTTGTTTCCCTTTGCAATAAATTTTCCTGGCGATCGCTGTGTTGCTCTTGACTTTCATTAGCACGTGTGATTGTATCCTGGTTTCGTACATCTTCATTGTTTTCTGCCGATCTATTTAACCGACGGTTCTGGAGTAATTGTGAATTCCGAGTCCGTCGACCAATATTTCCTCCTCGTCCACGAAGACGTGACATTGTTTTTTGTACAATATTTTTATCTTTATATATATAATTCTTCTTTTATGTGTTGAATTTTTGAATTCGCTGGATTTACCAGGAATATCACCACATAACTTAAGATTAAAAATTGGCTCACCTATAATTATGCTGCGGAATTTAAATGCACTTAAGCTATGCAACGGCAGTTTTACGATTCAGTTTAGAGATTTTAAAGTTTTTAAACAAATCAAAGTAAGCATGAATAAATTTTAAATTTTTAATATAAATGTATATGGATACCAAAAAATAAAAAATTGATTAAAAAGACATTATCCAGTGGGCCAAATTGTGAATCTAAACCTTCCTTGAATCCTTTGAACACACACAAAAAAATTTCATCAAAATCGGTTCAGCCGTTTTTAGGAGGAGT